GAATACTGTATACTGTATTACGGTATTAGATAATCTTTTGATAAAAAAATTTTCAGCCAATGGAAAACTGATATTCCTATATTAAATTCAAGTTTTTTTTTAAGATAAAATATTTTAAAAAAATGTCCCGCCCAGAACACCGAGCACCACCAGAAATTGTAAATACATAATAATTACCTGTTATCAATTGGATCACATTAATAAAATTAAATAGCTAATTGTTTATTTATTGAGTAATAGTATTACAATGACGAAGAAGCAAGGAAATATACCTCAAAGTAATTAATTCGTCTTATTAACACTACTCCAAATAATTTTTTTTAATAACGTATTTTTATTATTTAGTACTCGAATACAAAGTGTTCAAGCAGATCTGGTACTTATGAAATAGGTTTAATCAAGAGAATTCCTTCTTTAAATTTATTAAATTATTATATGACAATAGACATATAGAGCCCTTGAATTACTAAATTTACCAGAAAATGAACCAGCTTTTTTGCTTGATATTGGATGCGGATCTGGTTTAAGTGGTGAAATTTTAGATGAAGAAGGTCATATGTGGGTAGGGATGGATATTTCCCCTTCTATGCTACGTGAGTCAAATAATTACAAAATTAGCATACGTCTCAACACGAATTTCCACGTTTTATATTTGTTATTATATTTTTATTTTTTTTTATTTTTTATTTTTTATTTTTTTTTGCATTAATAGAGGTTGCATTGGACCGTGAAGTTGAAGGTGATTTGTTTTTACAAGATGTTGGTCAGGGAATGGGGTTTCGTCCTGGTACATTTGACGGTGCTATAAGGTAATTAACTACATTACTATAATATCATCATTTCAAATAATATCTTGGTAACCTAATAATCTTGTATAGTATTTCAGCTCTACAATGGCTATGTAATGCAGATCATAGTTCACATAATCCTAAATCCCGTCTCACACGCTTTTTTTCAACTCTTTATTCATCACTACGCCGGGGTGCTAGAGCAGTATTTCAATTTTATCCAGAAAATGATCATCAATGTGAACTAATAATGAATACAGCAATGAGATGTGGTTTTGAAGGTGGTCTGGTAATTGATTACCCCAACAGTAAAAAGGCAAAAAAGTATTTTCTTTGTTTATTTGCCGGCCAAATTCCTACTGAAGACGGTAAATCGACAATGCCAAAAGCTTTGGGTGAAGATGGAGAAGATGAACCAAATACTATAATTTATTCTAGTCAGAGGTTGTTTCCTTTTTAGATGAATTAATGCATGCAAAATAATTTAAGTTTAGAAATTTTATTGCTTCCATTCTAACAATTTTAACAAACAATTTTATTCGTTATAGAATTCAAGAACGTCAAAGAACAAAAGGAAAACAACGTAAATCAATTAAAGAAAAGGATTGGGTTTTGCATAAAAAAGAAGTTGCACGTATGAAAGGAACCAAAAATGTACCGTTGGATTCAAAATATACTGCACGAAAAAGAAAACCAAAATTTTAGAAAATCTAAAGTGTGAAAGAAAATATTAATTATTTAATATCTTATGAGTTTTAAGCACTGTAAAACTTATAATAATTAGTAAATATACTTATCATACAAAGTCCATAATTTTATTTCTAAAAATATTCATTCATCGTCGCTATCCCGCAAGCTATCATTTTTTTTCAGTTGGCTCTCCATCCGACTCAACACATCCATCATTTCCATCATCATCATCATCCTCCAGAGTTTTTTGTTTTTTTTCACCGGATTGCTTTTTCTTTTGTTTTTTCTTTTGTCTTTTTGCCCTCTTTTTTGCAGTTCTCTCTTCTTCTTTTGTTTTAATTGCTTCCATCTTGTCTTCAAATTCTCGTTTTTCTTCTTCCTAAATGAAAATTAGACAATTATTATTTTTATAAAATTTTAATTAATATAAAGATTTATATATATATATATAATAAAACCTTTCTAGCTTCTTCTTCCATGATTTTTAATCTTGTATATTCTCTTCGACGATGAGCTCGGTAAACATGGAATTCACCACTTCCGGCACCCGCACTAGAACCTATTTTTAAATTAAAATTTATTCTTAATTCTTCAACAATCCTTTATTTTATTTTACTAAATTTTTACCTTGAACATTTCTAACAATATCTTTTGGTGCTTTTAATTTTGGTTTCTCAATCTCCGGTATAGTTACTGGCTTATCGACTCTTTGTAATAACTTTTCTAATTGCTGCCTTTGAACGTCCACAGGTTTTAGGTTATGTTTGTGTGCATGCTTCACTCCAAGTCCACTATTACTGTCAGAATCCGTTGATTCGTTAGAATTCTTGTTTTGATCTTTTTTAGAAGCCATGTTTTAAAAATTAAAAAGTACTATTAACGTTAGAATTATCGAAATTGAGCACGTTTTTTTTCCACATGATTACTAGATTACTGGATTAATCCATCTGATTTAACATTAATTAGAGTTTGAAACATAAACAAATCATCAATTGCATATTACTGAGTTCATTTAGCCGAGTAACACGGTGTCACTAAATTATCTAAAAACTTGGTCAGCTCTCTACCATAATTTGAACACAAGTTTATATTATAAGGTCGCTTTTTCAAATTGGCATACACATCTGAATTAAAAAAATGGATTATGATATGCAGGGTGCTCAGAACTATGGCCCAGGACCACAAGGCTCTGGATTTGGTGGCAATGGTGGTGGAAATAGTGGACAAGAGTACGTAGTTTTCGATAGGTCCACTGAGGGGTTCTCTAAAGGCACTTTGGATAGATCTACTGCTGCAAAATTGAAATTAGAACACTTTTATAAAGTTACTTTGGATCAGGCAAGAGAACGTAACGACCGGTATGTAATCACTACCAGCTAAAAAAACGGTTGTTCTGGCGGATTCGGATTATATCGAAATTATAGTATAAGTGTTCAGCCCTTTTAGTATCCCTCCCAGCGTTTACAGCACAGATCTTTGATGTAATAATTGATTATTTTATAGACGTAATGAACTTGAAAAAAAGCTTGAAAGAGAGGACTGTTCGGAAGAACGAAAGAACAGGCAACTTCAGTCACTTGGACGTAAAGAGTCGAATTTTTTTAAGGCTTAAAAGAACAAGACTGGGGTTAGAAGATTTTAATACTGTTAAAGTGATTGGTAAAGGCGCGTTCGGTGAGGTGTGTGCATTTTTTTTAAATATATTATATTAAATCAATCATAGATGAATTTTATATATTATTAATTTGTTATATGCTTTTGCATTCGTGAAAAATTATTGAATTCAGGTTAGACTTGTTCAAAAAACTGATAATGGGAAAATATATGCTATGAAGACGTTAAGAAAAGCAGATATGTTTAAGAAAGATCAGGTGATTTATCCTGATTTATCCGAATTTTGATTTACTAGTTCAAAAATTTGGCAGAATAAAATTACTGAGTTCTTATATAATATAGTTGGCCCATGTAAGAGCCGAACGCGATGTTCTTGCCGAATCAGATTCTCCATGGGTGGTTCAATTATATTATTCTTTCCAAGATTCATCATATCTTTATCTTATTATGGAATTTTTGCCTGGAGGTGACTTGATGACCATGCTGATTAAATACGACACTTTCTCGGAAGATGTAACAAGATTTTATATTGCTGAATGCGTCTTGGCCATTGAAGCAATCCATAAATTAAATTTCATTCATAGGTAATTTTCTTTTTTACGTTTGCATTTTCTTTTTTTCTCTTATATTAAATTCTTAATAACAAAATTATATAATATATAAATATACATCCACTCAAAATTCAGAGACATTAAGCCTGATAATATTTTGATTGATAAAGATGGTCACATCAAATTATCTGACTTCGGTCTTTCTACCGGCTTTCACCGAACACACGACTCTGCATACTATCAACGACTTTTGGATGGGAATCTCAATAGTGGAGCTGGTCACAGACCATTAGGCAGTGAGGCTAATATCAATTTAACATTGTCAAGTAAAGACAGAATCGCTACATGGAAAAAAAATCGAAGAGCTTTGGTATTATTATTTATCTTATTTCTATCGATTTCTTTTTTTTTTTCTACTATTAAAATCCGAATAA